CAAGCCCAGGACAATGAACCATATTTTATTGACTAACAAGGTGGAGCATTGGACCAGAGGAGTGTCAAATCTGTGTACTTTAAACTTAACCATCTGTATGGTGTTTGTTTCACTATTTTTCTCAAAGTTGTAAATGTCGGTCCCTTCTTTCATCCAAGCTCTGCAATCAGTCTTCGATCCCATTCTTGCATCATTTTCTCTCTCTTTTGCAGGGCCAGGACTAGAAAGAGTGCGTACAAAATTTAAGGGTATGTCAAAAGCCTCAGTAATCAAAATTAGTAATATTTTACCATCATTTTTGAAAAAAAAACAAACAAACAAACAAAAACACCAAAAACAATCAAGATGAACAAAACACCAAATTTTTGGGGAAAAAGACAGGATCAGCTGAGCCATGTTAGAGCCTGAGGCAAAAGGGAAAAATTAGTAATACTAATCCTGTAAGAAATGCTTTATTTTAGAGTTCTGGCCTTTTGATTTCTCCTGTCTTCTCACTTCCCAAAATCACCTCACTCCCTAAACCTTAGATCTCTATCCCATTTTTTATTTTTGGCTTTGACCTGGCCTGAGAACGTTGGATTCTAGCCTTGACTATTTACATCTAAGCTCTCATGCTACTATAAAATCAAGTAATAGCAACCTCATCTAGAAGTTTGTCATCCACTTGTACACTTACAAAATACCTACACCATTTCCTGATGCTACACTTTTAGGATTATTACAATACTCTATTTTTGCAAGTTCTCATAATACCTTATATCATGAGTCTTATATCAAGAGTCTTAAGTGGTCCTTGCTATGGAAGTGACTGTATAATATTCTTTAAAGTTTTTAACTCTGTCATGAGTAAGAGTAAAGGAATGTTTTGCTATGTAACAAAAAAATAAAAATAAAAAAAGCCATATTCATCTCTGTATCCCCAGAACTCAGAGCTAAGTGAGCCTTATAAACAGGTAGTCAAGTGCCCAGTAACTAGTAGGCGACTTCCTCTTTGAAGATTCCCTTTATCACACCCCTTAATCAAGCCTCTTAAATTGCACTATACTTGATTTACTTTAACTAGGTTTTATTTCAGGCTATAGTTACCATGAGTTTCTTAAAATTGTTCTTTTCTTAATGATTATATTTAAATTTTAAGATAATTATAGATTTACATGAAGTTATAAGAAATAATACAAAGATCCTAAAAGCCCTTTACCTCATTTTCCCAAATGGTAACAACTTGCAAAACTGCAGTATAATATCAACACCAGGATATTAATAGTTAAGATACAGAATATTTCTGTCACCACAGGTTTCCTCAGGTTGCCATTTTATAGCTTCACCTACTTCACTGCAGTCCCCTCCTTAAGTTGTGTTAACCACTATTCAGTTCTCCATTTCAGAAATTTTGTCATTTCAAGAATTTTATGTTTTTAACCTTAAAAATAAAAAGCCAAAGTGAGAGGCAATAAATATTCAATTGAAATCAAAGGACTGCAATACTGGAAAAACTGATTTAAGAAGAAACCCAAACAGTGTTCTGATTTCAGGGTGAAAACAAGGAATATTTATGACAAACAGGAAAGGAAATAATTGCATAGAATAAAGGAATTTCTACTGGTGTTAACAAGCTAAGTTACTCTTGAGCTATATATATGGCTGGTTACTGATTCTAAAGACTGTCTATAATAATTAGTTCTGTGGTCAAATGTCTGCTTTCCTGTTAGCTTTACAAACAGTCATTTACACAACAATGCTGGTTTGGCCCAGTCAAAGTTTATTTTGTCCCAAACATTCCAAAGGGTTCAAAGAATTAAGACATGCAAGGCAGTTCCTCTGGGATGGTGTCTCCAACTCCATCTTGAAATGGCTCTGTTTATGTCATTTTTATTTTACAATATAAATGGAATTATATAGTCTTTGACCTTTAGAGATTAGTCTGCTTTTTCACTACACATAAACCTGGAGATTCTTCCAAGTTGCTTCATGTATCAGTAGCTTGTTTCTTTTTATTGTTCAGTAGTAGTAAATCTTGGATAAAAGGGTTTGTACAAGTAATAATGATTAATGCCAGAGGTAGAAATACTATTATTGTTAAGCATTCATTAGGCCAGAAGCCAGGTAAAGAAGAGAGGTCTGACTGGAAGGTGATTCACTGTATGTGAAAATCTTGACAGAAGTGATCCAAATCTGACTAAATATTAAAACAAAAGGTTGGTCATTGCTGGGAATATTTTGATCAAATATCACCAGCTGCAGTAGCAGAATTTCACAATAGTTTCAATATGCACATAAAAAATGCAAATGACTGAATCATCCTAAACTTCCTTGCTTTACGTACTAAAGAATTATTACCGTAGGCCCATTATTTTTGAAATGTATCTAAAATAGTCATAAAGGGGAAATTAGGTATTCTGACATCACGACCTTGATAATACTGCCTATGTCACAGTCATCATGTCTTTCTTTTTTTTTTTAAAAGATTTTATTGGGAAACTGGGGGAGAGGAATAGTGTTGGGGAATTGGAGAAGAGGACTAGCCATGTTGTTCTTCAATCTTCGTTGTGGAGGGTGCTAGTCACCATCTGGCTGCTCATCGGCAGCTTGTGGCCTCTAAGCTCAAGGTGCTATGTTCAATCTTAGTTTCAGGTGGGCGTAGCCACCATCCCATGCAGGAGTCAAACCAGCAGCCTTGTTGTTAAGAGCACATGCTTTATCCACGGAGCCATCCGGGCGGCAGCTCAGCTCAAGGTGCCAAGTTCAGTCTTAGTTGTGGTTGGATGTAGCCCACCATCAAACAGGCAGTCTTGTTGTTAGGAGCACATGCTCTCACCAGCTGAGCCATCCTGCCACCTGTTGGCAGCTCAGCGACAGCTCAGCGACAGCTCAGCTCAGGCACAGTGTCACTGGCCCATGTGGGAATCAAACTAGTGACCCTGTTGCTCAGAGCTCGCATTCTTAAACCAGCTCTTAACCAACTGAGCCACTTGGCTGGCCCCAAGTCATGGTGTCTTAAGATATCAAATAACTTCAGAGTAAGTCAATGAGTTAATTGTCTAGATGGCGACCTAAATGCTGGAGTCAAAAAAGCATCCTTCAGAAACCTGAGTTCTAAGTGCATGAAAAAACTAAGTACAGAGTTATGGGAAATTCTTAGTGAAAGGCAGTATTATGTGGAGCCTCTGAAAATAATATATTCATAGTAAATAAATACGGAAAAAACTAGTGACAACTTGTCTTCTAAGACAAAAAACAAGTAGAGGGTTATTATTTGTGATTTATAAGATTGGTCTCCAAAGTATCATGCATGCGCTCCATGCAGCATCAAATTTAAAAAAAAATGTGATTCAACAAAAAATAGTTTATATATACAGAGCATGCCAAAAAACTGTATACACATTTTAAGAAAAAAAAAGTATTAAAATTATGCTGATGGTAACCACTTTGAGCACCTCTTATAACTGCAGAAGTCAAACGTGATTTCTGCATACGAGGCCTGACTTCAGTATACTCGTATATTGAAGATTACAATTTTAATAGTTTTTCCTTTCTTAAAATGTGTATACATTTTTTGACACTGTGTGTGTGTGTGTATATATATATATATATATATATATATATATATATATATGTACACACACATATATATTTCATATATAGTATATATAAAGAGTGATTCTTTCATATATACCTGGGGTGCCAAAAAATGTATACATGTGGACACTTTGGTCAACATTATTCAAGCAGTAGTTTGCCATAATCAGAAGTGTCTGGACACTGAATAGTAACCACTTGTAATTGCAGAAGTCAAACGTAACTTGTATGTGCCAAAAAAATGTATACACATTTTAAAAAGGGAAAAACTATTAAAATTATAATACCATATGTCCCCATGTATAAGACGCACCCTGTTTTGAAAAATTTGGGGTCTAAAAATTGGTTGTGTCTTATACAGTGGTTGTAGATTTTTTTACTTGCATTTCCTGCTTTTTCATGCTTGTTGTTTTTGCGCTCATTGTTTTGTACTTGTTACCAGATATGGTAGGTGACATTTTGCCACGTTCTGCCCAGAAACGGCTCAGAAAAGATTTTTGTTCAGTGCTGAATTCAAGTTAAAAGTGATCCAATTTGCAAAAGTGAATGGAAATCATGCTGCTAAACGTAAGTTTGGTCCTCCTCCAACTGAGAAAACAATCCGAGACTGGCTACGGAAAGAAAAAACCCTACTGAAAACGCCATGGCAGAAGAAGGCCGTGAGAGGTAATATATGAAGACAGTGATTCATCATCAGACACAGATGGGGACAAGCTAATGGTTGGGAGTTTTGACAGTGATGAGGAGTTGTATGAATTTTATGATGAATAAAACTTGAGTTCA